TGAATTATACAAATGAAAGGTTACACTCATTAGTCAGCAGTTTTCCAACAAAAAGATTAGTTACCATTCCAGAACTCAACTGACTAAAGATTTGTCCAGCAATGGAGGTAAATCTTCCTAACTACAGCAGGCAGTATGTAGCATGAAACACAAAGAACTGGCAAAGCAGTTCCAGAGAGACATGTACTTTGGGCTTGTTTACACTTGCTTCAAAATGTGTCATTTGACATGCCTTTTTAAAGTGCTCAGAACACCAATGAAAGCACCTCCCACTAAATAAAATGGGACTCTTTCAGTCCAGGATCCCACTGTTGTGTTTGCTTTGCACTGCTTCAAAAATGATACCCAATGTTGCTTTCTTGGTGCGTCAAAGCGCCACCCAAGCCTCCATAGAAGTCTATCAAAATGCGCACTAACAGCACCTGCAGCACTTGAGGGGAATTTATTCAGAGTTAAGCCAGCCATACATTATACAATTTTCTTGAGATTTTTGGTTTAGATTTACCAAAAACCATATAATAGGAGATCAAAACTAACAACACTTTCAATTGTATCCAATTAGGCAGGCTCTTGCACTACATAGTTGAAGGTAAATTTAAAGGAAATTGGACAGAAAATTGTATAGTGTATGGCCAGCCTTAGTTTTGGTGGTATTGGAGGTATGAAATATCCCAGAATGCACTGGGAAACCAACAGGTAAACTGGAAAGATATCATCGGTAGTCACTGGTTCATGTATATACAGTTGTGTTCAAAATAATAGCAGACATCACTAACCTGATCAATCACTGTTTTTGGTAGAAATTATATTTCTACATGGCAAATAATTTACTAGCAGGTGTAGTAGAGTAATAGAAATCCAACAGACCCAACAGTCATGATATGCATGCTGCTGATTCTGTGTAATTGAATCACTAATCGAAAGGCGCATGTTTAAAATAATAGCAGTGTGGAGTTCTATTAGTGAGGTCATTCATTCTTTGAAAAACAGGTGGCAATTATTGCCCTTATTTAAAGAAGGAAGGCAGCAAAATGTTGTACATGCTGGTTACAATTGCATTTCTCTCTGAAATTCTGAGAAAAATGGGTTGTTCCAGACATTGTTCAGAAGAACAGCGTACCTTGATTAAAAAGTTGATTGGAGAGGGGAAAACATATAAAGAAGTACAGAAAATAATAGGCTGCTCAGCTAAAATGATCGCAAATGCTTTAATATGGCAACCAAAACCTGAAAGACGTGGAAGAAAGCAAAAAACTGCCATTCAAATGGATAGAAGAATAACCAAAATGGCAAGGACTCAGCCAACAATCAGCTCCAGGAAGATGAAAGAAGGTCTAAAGTTACCTGTGAGTACTGTTACAATTAGAAGACGCCTATGTGAAGCCAAGCTATCTGCAAGAAGCCCCTGAAAAGTCCCACTGTTGAAAAAAACGACATGTGCTGAAGAGGTTACAATTTGCCAAAGGGCACATTGACTGACCTAAAGAGACATTTTGTGGACTGATGAAAGTAAGATTGTTCTTTTTGGGTCTAGTGGCCGGAGACAGTTTGTCAGACGACCCCCAAACACTGAATTCCAGCCACAGTACACTGTGAAGACAGTGAAGCATGGTTGCGCAAGCATCATGATATGGGGATGTTTCTCATACTACGGTGTTGGGCCTATTTATCGCATACCAGGGATCATGGATCAGTTTGAATACATCAGAATACTTGAAGAGGTCATGCTGCCTTATACTGAAGAGGAAAATGCCCTTGAAATGGGTGTTCCAACAAGACAACGACCCCAAACACACCAGTAAATGTGCAACATCTTGCTTCCAGACCAACAAGATTGACATTATGCAGTGGCCAGCCCAAACCCCGGAAGTTAATCCAATAGAAAACTTGTGGGGTGACATCAAAAATGCAGTTTCTGAGGCAAAACCAAGAAAAAGAGAAGAACTGTGGAATGTAGTCCAATCATCCTGGGCTGGAATACCTGTTCACAGGTGCCAGAAGTTGGTTGACTCCATGCAACACAGATGTACAGCAGTTCTCAGAAACAGTGCTTATACAACTAAATATTCATTAAGTGATTAAAAAAAAAGCAAAATCTTCAAACATTTTTCATTTTATATAGTGAATGTTTGAGTTTGTAAAGAAGAATACAAACACTGCTATTTTTTTGAACAGTCTAATATTCACTTTTCTTCAATTTTTTTAGAGGAACAACAGAAATTTGATATATTTTTCTTTATGTTTTGATTTGGAATAGATTGTGTAGTGTTCCCAATGTATTTGTGTGTATGGAAATAAAAGCTATTAGAAGGATTTTGAGCTTTATTCACTTTTTTAACACACTGCTATTATTTTGAACACAACTGTATATTCTGCAAGTGTCTGGTGCAGATGTCACATCTAGTGTACAGCGTGGAGCAGCAGAATGGTGTGCAGGGTCTGGTGAGAACAAAGGAAGTCTGATCAGCTGCACTCCAAACAATCCACTTTATTGAACCAAGATAAAACCAATACAGACAGTGGAAATACAATGGGGGAGTGACAGGTAAATGCTTTTCACATTAAAGACAGTGCTTATTCATTACCATGTTTGGAGTGCAGCTGATTGGACATGCTTTGTTCTCATCTATGCATCACACAAGCTGAACTAGCACCTACAGGAGGAATTGAGCTTGGAGATTGGGAGTCTCTCTACCTTTAGCAGTGGTAAACATATATGGGTGAGCAGGGTCTGGACGGGAGCAACTAGCAGACAACACACGTGGTGTGCAATGTGGGAACATTATAGCGGAAGATGAGCGGGGGCCAAAGAGAGAGGACTAAGTGGCGGAGGATTAACAGCTGGCAGACTGGAGCAGGAGAAGCTAGCAGATGTCACACATGGTACCCTGCATGGGTGCAATATAGTGGAAGGTGAGTGGGGACCAGAGAAAGAGAAAGATCAGCAAACCAGAGCAGAGCTGGGGATTACCAAGAGGGCGATCAGTAGAGTTAGGGGTTAGCACTGAGCGGGGGATCAGCAGAGCTGAGAGATAGCACTAAGCAGGGGATCAGCAAAGCTGGGGGATACCACTGATCAGCAGAGATGGGGGTACTACTGAGTGGGGCATCAGCTGAGCTTGGGGTACTAATGAGCAACGGATCTTCTGAGTTTGGGTACTTGGGATCTGCTGAACAGGGATAATAATGAGCTGGGGATCTGCTGAGTGGGGGTATTACTGAGCTGGGGGTACTACTGAGCTTGGGATTTACTGAGCCCTTTTAAAACAAATAGAAAATCATCATACACAGGGCATTTGCCAAGCTTCATTAAAGCTTCAAAAAAGAATAACAAAAGCATCATAAAAGTCTCAAAAACACATGTTCATTTGGACTTTTTTTGGATTATACATAATTATGTTTAATTATAATATATACATTTTTTGTGTTGAATATTTTTATTCACTTTTATACACTTTTACTGTTCTTTTGCACAAAATATTGATTATGCGCCACTTGAATCATTTGTTAAAGTGTTTTTTATATGATTTATTTATTTTTAAAGTGGCAGCGTAGTTTATGTGGTTATACACAGTTATCATTTATTTAATAGTGGTATTTATCACTTGTTTATATATTCAGCGTAGTTGTTGGTAATATACCTTCATCATTTTACCATTTAATACTAACTATTTTTAAATATATTCCCTCCTCCTATCTATCCTGCCTACCCTGTGTAAAAAGGATCTGTATCCTTACCTTTCTTCGGTCCAGTCACGTGATACTACAGCTCTGTCTGTCCTGTGTCATGAAGTACTCAACAACAGCTGTGAGCCATGATGTCATACTTAGGCTTCTATGGCCCAGCTGTTGTTGGCACTCACTGGTCGGACTTAAAAAAGGTAAGTATACAGATTTTTTTTTTTACATAAAGTAATTAGGATAGGTATGAGTAGGAGAAGGGAACTTTTTTAAGAATAGTTATTGTTAGGTTTTAATTACACTTTAACAGTCACCAGAGCCCTCTATAAGCTACCTGAAGACCACTTTGAGTGGTTATTCCCGGATGATGCCTGCAGCTGTAGGCATCATCCCGGTATTGTTTTTTCTTGCAAAAGCAATCCTAGCAGTTAACTAACCACTGGATTGCTATTGCAAAAAGAGAAAGGGGACCCCCTTCCTCCCGCAGCCTTCTGTGGATCCACCATCAGACCCAAGTGTTCAGTTGGCGTTCCGCTGGTGTATGCAGTTTTAAAGCATCACAGGCTTGGTATCTATTTACTTGCTGCAATATCATATTTTATATTTTACCAAAAAATTGGGTATTTCTATTGTGTTTTTGTGCATTAACCACTTGCCCTCCAGAGGATTTACCCCCTTCTTGCCTACCAGGCACTTATACCCCCTTCCTTACCAGGCCAATTTTCAGCTTTCAGCGCTGCTGCACTTTGATTGACAATTGCGCGGTCATGCAACATTGTACCCATATGAAATTTTGATCAATTTTTTCTCACAAATAGAGCTTTCTTTTGGTGGTATTTAATCGCCACTGGGCACTTTACTTTTTGCGCTATAAATTAAAAAATTGCAAAAAATTTGAAAAAAAAAAAAAAGTTTCTTTGTTTCTATTATAAAATTTTTCAAACAGGTATTTTTTCTCCTTCACTGATGTGCGTTGATGAGGCAGCACTGATGGGCACTGATAGGCGGCACTGATGGGCACTGATAGGGAGCACTAAAGGGCACTGATAGGCAGTACTAATGAGGTGGCACGGATAGGCGGCACTGATAGGCAGCACTAATGAGGTGTCACGGATAGGCGGCACTAATATGCAGCACTGATAGGCAGCACTGATAGGTGACACTGATGATGGGTACTGATAGATGGCACTGACTGGCATCACTGCTGGGCACTGACTGGCGGCACTGACTGGCACAACCGCTGGGCACTGACTGGTGGCACTGACTGGCAGCACTGCTGGGCTGCACTGGTAGGTGGCACTGGTGGGCAGCACTGGTGGGTGGGCACAGGTGGGTGGCACTGGTGGGCACAGGTGGGTGGCACTGGTGGGCACAGGTGGGTGGGCACAGGTGGGTGGCACTGCTGGGCACAGGTAGGTGGCACTTCTGGGCACAGGTGTGTGACACTGCAGAGTGGCACAGGTGGGTGCACTGCTGGGCACAGGTGGGTGCACTGCTGGGCACAGGTGGGCGGAGCTAGTGGGCGCACTGCTGGGCACAGGTGGGTGGAACTTGTGGGTGGCACTGCTGGGCACCGATCATCAGGGCACTGATCATCAGTGGCCCTGATGATCAGTGCCGATCCTCGCTCTGACAACTGCCGGTTCTCGGCAGTACTTTCCTCACGATCTGACAGCGTGAGGAAAGTGCAGCCGAGAATCGGCACTTGCATTTCCCTGTGATCAGCGTGTCATTGGACACCGCTGATCACGTGGTAAAAGGTCGGTATGATCGGCCTTTTACCACATCTCGTGATCAGCTGTGTCCGTAGGACACAGCGATCACGGAGATCGCCGGGTGCGCGCCCCCTGGGGAGCGCAGGAGAGCGCGTTCTGGGGGGACGTCATATGACGTCCACTCAGAACTGGCCGGCCGCAGTTTAGCCGTCATTCAGCTATCTGCGGTCGGCAACTGGTTAATTGACAATTGCGCGGCCATGCTACGCTGCACCCAAATTAAATTCATGTCCTTTTTTTCCCCACATATAGAGCTTTCTTTTGGTGGTATTTGATCGCCTGTGCATTTTTATTTTTTGCACTATAAAAAAAAGACCAAAAATTTGAAGAAAAACAATATTTTTTACTTTTTGCTATTAAACATGTCCAGTAAAAAAAATTAAAAAACTAAATTTTATCATTAATTTAGGACAAAATGTATTCTGATACATGACTTTGTTAAAAAAAAAAAACCAAATGCGTGTAAATTAATTGGTTTATGTAAAAGTTATAGCTTTTTGCTTACAAATGGCGGTATATATAATAGGATTTTTAATTTATTTTTACTAGTAATGATGGCGATCAGCGACTTATAACGGGACTGCGGGGACTGCTGTGGGTTTTCCGACACTGGGGGGAACTGACTTGGTGTCACTGACATCCCCAGTGACAGCAATACAGTGATCAGTGCTAATAAAAAGCACTGACACTGTACTAATGGCACTGGGCAGGAAGGGGTTAACATGTGGGGCGATCAAAGGGTTAACTGTGTGCTGTTTTACAGTGTGCTAAAAACTTGTGGCAAAAAAACATAAATACAAAGTACTCACTAAGCCTTTTAGAAATTACATTTGGGTGTTTGCTTTCCAAAATGTGGACATTTTGTTGGTGTTTCCACAGCCCTGGTGCTCCAGGGTATCCATGTGATAAGAAATTAGATGTGTAGATTAGAAAACCTCATTTTAGGACCTCAAGAAATGAGATGGACAGACAGAACATCAGGACTGATCAGTTTTCAAATATATATATATATATATATATATATATATATATATATATATATATATATCATAGTTTGTACGTTTACTCCCAGCCACCCATAGAGCAGAGCGGGCTCTGTCCATGGCTGCTCTACATCACTCTGCTCCGATCGGCAGAGGATCAGAGGACAGATTCCCTGCTGATTTATATATATATATTTTAGCCTAAATTTATGAAAAATTATTTATTTGCAAACTTTTTAACAGAAACTAAAAACAAAGTTTTTCATTTTTTCAAACTTCATGATCTTTCTTCCTTTATATAGCAAAAAAAAACTCAGTGGTGATTACAAATCACCAAAATAAAGCTTGATCTGATATAAAATTAAGGTGGGTACAGTGTTGCATGACTGAGTAATTGTCATTCAATGTGTGACAGCGCTGACAACTGAAAAATGGCCTGGGCAGGAAGGGGGTTAAACAGTCTGTTCTTCAAGTAGGTAATGAATATTACACATATAAACCTGTTGAATGGAGCTGTAGCGCCCTTCTAGGTAGCTAGGAGGAGCTAGACACCAATGGCTAGATAGGGGCTGAGCAGCAGCCCAGGTATAATAGCCAGACTGGGATCAAATTATGGTAAGGGCTGAAAGGCTCTGCTGGTCAGCCCCTCTGGAGTTTCACCCTGCTTTGGATCTTTAGAGGAAGGCTCTAGAGGCAGCGGGTGGATCTGAGGAGTGGCTGGCTGCACTCTTGAGGGACCCCCGCCAATCCCCAACAGAAGGCTTGGCAAGGGACTGGGACACCCTTAAAGGTATTGGAGCCTTCTTAGTAGCAGGAGGGTTGGAGGAGAAATGTGGGTGGAAGATGGAGAAGCGAGACTGAGATGCAGGGGCCTGGGAGGGAGCCCATGCTGGAAGGGGCTGGAGCAGGAGGGTTGGAGGAGAAGTGCGGGTGGAAGATGGAAATGCAAGGCTGAGATGCAGGGCCCTGGGAGGGAGCCCAGGCTGGGATGGACTCACCTCTAGGCAGAGGGACCTTGAAAGGAAGAAAGCTGTGGACTTCATTGGCCCCCTGAGAGAGGACCACTTGGTGGCAGGGAAGAAGTGGCCCAGCTGATAGGCCTGGTAGCAGCTACCTACCCAACAGCAGCACACAAGAGAAGGACTCAGTGAGTACTCCTACACCCTGTTGTCCAGGAAGGGGAGAAAGCATTTGGGAGAGGAACCTGACTAGCTCTACACCTGGGACTGTTACATTTTAGGCTGATGTGGACTCCTTTGCCCAGGGATTACTCCAGAAATTTTAGTTAGGTCCACAGTATACAGTATTTTTTTGTGTAGTTGGCTAATTTGGATGCAGGGACACACGGACACACTGGATGCCTTTGCTGTCATTTTGGTATAGCTGGGCGTCATGTACGTCCCTGTACCTTTAAGGAAGGATGGGCTCCTCCAGGCACATCTGCCCTTAACATATCCATTGATACATGTGCTCCTACTATGGAAGCTTTGAAAATTTTAGTTAGGTCCACAGTATACAGAGGACCCTTGATGTGGGACTGTGGCTTACACATGTATTTGCAAATGCGTGCAAACAAAACCCTCTGATTTTAACGCAAACTGTTAGACAGGACCAAATTGGTTGTTTTGCAGGCTGGCTGGTAAGTGTTGCTGGGAAATCCTTTGTTTGTTTGCAATGTGTCCCTTACTGCTAAGGCTGATTAGAGGTTGGGATGGTTGCCATTTTTGTTTGTGCAGTTGGCTAATTTGGATGCAGGGATGCACTGGATGCCTTTGCTGTCATTTTGGTATAGCTGGGCGTCACGTGCGTCCCTGTACCTTTAAGGAAGCATGGGCTTCTCCAGGTACACCTGCCCTTAACCTATCCATTGATGCATGTGCTCCTACTATGGAGGCTTTGGAAATTTTAGTTAGGAAACACAGTATACAGAGGACCCTTGACGTAGGACTGTGGCTTACGCATGTACAGTTGCAAGAAAAAGGATGTGAACACCTTGGGATTACGTGGAGTTTTGCATGAATTGGGCATAAAATGTGCTCTGAACGTCAACTAGGTCACAACAATAGAAGAACACAGTCTGCTGAACATAATACTACACAAACATTAGATGTTGCCATGGTTTAATTGCACATAACATGTAAACATCCACATAGCAGGGAGGAAAAAGTATGTGAGGTCCTAGCTTAATGACTTCTCCCAGAGCTAATTGGAGCCAGGAGTCAGCCAACCTTGACTCCAATCAGTGTGATGATATTGGATGTGTTGCTGACAGCTGTCCTGCCCTTAAAAAACACTCACCTATTTTGGGTTTACTGGTTTCAAGAAGCACTGTCTGATGTGAACCATGCCTCGCAGAAAAGAGCTTTCAGAAGACCTACGATCAAGAATTGTTGACTTGCATGAAGCTGGAAAGTGTTACAAAAGTATCTCCAAAAAGCCTTGTTGTTCATGTGTCCACGGTAAGACAGACTGTCTACAAATGGAGAAAGTTTAGCACTGTTGCTACTCTCCCTAGGCGTGGTCGTCCTGTAAAAATGACTGCAAGAGCACAGCGCAGAATGCTGCATGAGGTAAAGAAAAATCCCAGAGTGTCAGCTAAAGACCTACAGAAATCTCTGGCACATGCTAACATTTTTGTTGACACATCTACAATAAGGAAAACAGTAAACAAGAATGGAGTACATGGGAGGACACCACAGAGGAAGCCATTGCTGTCCAAAAAGAATATTGCAGCACGTTTGAAGTTTGCAAAAGAGCACCTGGATGTTCCACAGCACTACTGGCAAAATATACTGTGGACAGATGAAACCAAGATTGAGTTGTTTGGGAAGAACACACAACACTGTGTGTGGAGAAAAAAAGGCACAGCACACCAACATCAAAACCTCATCCCCACTGTAAAACATCGCGGAGGGAGCATCATGGTTTGGGGCTGCTTTGCTGCCTCAGGGCCTGGACGGATTGTTGTCATTGATGGGAAAATGAATTCCAGAATTTATCAAGACATTTTACAGGAAACGTACGACCATCTGCCTGCCAACTGAAGCTCCGCAGAGGATGGGTGATGCAACAGGACAATGACCCAAAGCATACAAGTAATTCAACAAACAATGGCTGCAACAGCACAGAATACGCCTTCTGGAGTGACCCAGTCAGAGTCCTGACCTCAACCCGATTGAAATGCTGTGGCATGACCTTAAGAGAGCGATTCACACCAGACATCCCAAGAATATTGCTACACTGAAACAGTTTTGTGAAGAGGAGTGGTCCAAAATGACTCCAGATTGTTGTGCAGGTCTGATCTGCAACTACAGGAAACGTTTGGTTGCGGTTATTTCTGCCAAAAGGAGGGTCAACCAGTTATTAAGTCCAAAGGTTCACGTACATTTTCCTCCCTGCACTGTAAATATTTACATGTTATGTGCAATTAAACCATGGCAACATCTAATGTTTGTGTAGTATTATGTTCAGCAGACTGTGTTCTTCTAATGTTGTGACTTTGGTGACGTTCAGAGCACATTTTATACCCAATTCATGCAAAACTCCACGTAATCCCAAGGGGTTCACATACTTTTTCTTGCAACTGTATTTGCAAATGTGTGCAAACAAAACCCATCGTTTTGAATGCATATTGACAGACAGGACCAAATTGAATGTTTCGCAGGCTGGCTTGCAAGTGTTGCTGGCAAATCCTTTGTTTGCGATCTATAATGTATAAACTTAACTCTCTATATTTACAGTAATTCAAGCATTTATTGTATATAGTGCCATCAGTTTACACAGTGCTGTACATTCTATTCATTCTCATCAGTACCTGCCCTTATGGAACTTACAACCTAAGGAAATCAATCCTAAAATGTCTTCTTTAGCATTAGATAAGATTTTTTACTGAAACATTGTCTTCTAATGAAGTTATTTATCAGCATGACTGCAAAACACATGGTCAATGTACAACTTTACTAGAGCTTTGCAGTATCATGTTATATGTCACCTAGCATGCAAGATGCAACCTAGCTTTTATTGGATGGAAGAGCTTGCCAATGAGTCCTATTTCTGGCATCATCACGCAGAAGTCGTGCAGGTTGGGACCAATGAGTGCTGCATCCATGATGCTAGCTCCTCCTGCAGCCTCCATCCTTACTCAATGGGAATTCTTGAATGAACTCGGGAGGGGGTAAAGCTGCTGTACCAGCTCAGAGCAGCAGAGAGAGTGAGTCTTTAGGCGGTCTGTTGCTATAGTGACAGGAGCTGCCCAGTCTGCTATGTAGTACTAACAAAGCTTCACTTCTCAGATGCTGATGGGGACAACACAGGGAGAAAAGGAGGAGCAGAGGCATCTGTGTGCAATTATCCTGCCGCTGCCCCAGGTAAAATAACCTTTTATGTTAATACCTGTAGCTTTTTTTTAGCACGCTCTATTGTGGTACTTTATTACCGCTGCATACCGGCTACAAGTAAGTGGTTCCCTGTCAATACAATCTTTGTCATTGCAAGCATCTCTTGCTGCAGCCCTGGTATGCATTATATAGAGAGAATAGCTCAGTGCAGGCAGGTTTATGAATCAGATCAGATGGAACTGTCACCTGCCATAGAACACAAACATTCATCTGTTAGGAAATATTGATCAGTTCAGTCTTGAATTTGCATTAACAGAGGGCCAAGCTGTCCAGGTGTCAGTGATAGATATGCAATAACAAGGACGTATACTGTGGTAATGGTGTAAAGGTGTTAATATTGTGTAGAGATGGTTATTACTTGTGCTCCTGGGATGTAAGCTGTTTATAGAAATTGGAATTTAGAAAAGACTCCTTTTAGAGGTTCTTAATACTACCTTGAACAAAGGAAGCTCTGTATTCTTGCTGCCGCCACACTCCCTGAATGATTATTGCATTCATTATGATGTACACAAAGGGAGGTTTATATGAATTGCAATACCAGATGTATGTCGCTGTGCTTGTGCAATAAACCTAACAGAAAGTCACAATAGTCATTGTTCTGTGCCTGTAAATGTAATAACCTGTCATTTAAAAAAAATCCTCCTGTTTGGTGAGATAAGGAGGGATACTTGTGATCTGATGTGGTGCTGAAAGGAAAGCATCACTGCAATGTATGCAAAAGCTATTGACCTGTCAGGAGAGAAACACCAAGGCAAGCTGTTGATGACCGTTTCCTCTGAAAATGCTAAATGCCCGGCTGTCATGCTTAATGATCCACAACAAGTTTGCAGATGTGGACTGATGACTTTTCTCCAACATCTGACCTGCAAATCAGTAAATATTGAAGGGTCAGCATAGCAGTGCATTAAGTAGCATGTTCAAATTGAGGTCAGCAATGGCAGCCCCGTACTTCTCTCGTGATAGGTATGCTTTAAAGTTTAAAGCTTCATATTACACAGGGTGATAATGATCGGAATGATTTTCAGCAATTTTCATGGCCATCAGGTAAGTGAACTTCACAGCAGGTCTACATGTTGTATTAGACTTATTGGACATTATCATGATTTAAAAGCTAACCTGCCTAAAGTAACTGAACTGATAAGACTGATTTGTCCACTTTGTCAAGTGCAGTCAACCAGCAATGTTATATTTTGTAAAATATTTGTATAACAATAAAATGACAACCATGTGAATTTTCAAGAATACTGTATGTAAACTCATCATTACATATTCCTGATATGTACCTGCTCTACCATGTACTTATATGAAAAAGTACCCTGTTCTCTTTGTATTGCTTTCTTTGTGGGAAATCCCTGGTGTTCCTCACAGTCTCCATGCTTTACTATTAAAAACTGACTACCAGGGCCATCATTAATGCAGGGCAAAAGGGGAAGCTGCCCCGGGCCCAGTCATTGTTGTGGGGCCCAAAGCAGCTGACCCTTGAGCCCTGGACTGCCCGCAGTTTTCCTTGTGTAGCGGGTGCAGCTGATCCCCCCCCCCTTGCTCTCTCAGCCGAGATAATACAAGGGGCCACTTTGTGACAGGGGAGAGGCACAACTGTGGGCTGCATGTGCTGGAGCCTGCTCATCCCGCTTCTCCGTCTGTCAGGAGTGGCAGGACAGGTTAGCAGCGTGGAGATCAAGGCACACAGAGCGGGCCTCATGTGTATATTCTACTCCCTCATCCTTTTCCTGTCAATAGTGGGGGGGGGAGTAATAAAGCAGCAGCAGGACTGGAGCAGCTTGCAGAGGGAGGGACTGTGAGTTACGGCCAATCAGTGAGCGGTAATAAAGTGCAGTAACCTCTAGCAACCAATCAGTGAGTGGTAATGATGTGCAGTAACCTCTACCAATCAATGGATGATCAGTAATGATGTTTGGGAACCTCTAGCAACCAGTGAGCAGTAATAATGTGCAGTAACCTCTAGCAACTAATCAGTGAGTGGTAAGCATATGCAGTAACTTCTAGTAACCAATCAGTGATCAGTAATAATGTGCAGTAACCTTTAGCAACCAGTGAGTGGTAATGATGTGCAGTAACCTCTAGCAACCAATGGATTATCAGTAATGATGTTTGGGAACCTCTAGCAACCAGTGAGCAGTAATAATGTGCAGTAACCTCTAGCAACCAGTCAGTGAGCGGTAAGAATATGCAGTAACCTCTAGTAACCAATCAGTGAGCAGTAATAATGTGCAGTAACCTCTAGCAAACCAATCAGTGAGCAGTAATGATGCACAGTAACCTCTAGCAACCAATCAGTGAGCGTTAAGGATGTGCAGTAACCTCTAGCAACAAATCAGTGAGCGGTAATGATGCACAGTAACCTCTAGCAACCAATCAATGAGCCTGGACCAATCAGTGAGTATGGTCCAGTTCTTTTTGTTTACATTATTAAAGTTTTTTTTAGATAAGACTATGTGTGTGTTTGTTTTTTTTTTGGGAGAGCGAAATTGCAAGGGGAAAATGTTTGCCCAGGGTCCAATCATAATTAAAGATGGCCTTGCTGACTACACTAGGCAGGATAAGACACTCTGGTCAGTTCTCTAGCTATGCTGGGAACTCAGCCTGCTCTGCTCCAGTGATGAGACTTGTCCTGACACCCCTCCCCCCTGCACAGACTTTCGCTAGAAGGTTTAGTGTGCTGCTGTTTATTCTCCCCTAGCCTTTATGCAGCTGAGAACAGATGGAATGTGATCACTTATAAAAAAGGGGAAAAAAGGTACGTATCATTTTTTTTTATATCTAAGCACAAAGGTTTTGCCTTTCATTTGCCTTTTCTATTTTAAACTAAATTGATTGTTTTACAACATGAGGATTTTCAATCACTTAAATGTATTATGATCAGTTATGATTTGTAGCAGCTAATACTTGTCATTTAATAATATGAAAACAGTGTCTTACTTTTGTTCCTTGAAGTCAAGAGGAGCATTTTTAATCCATCTCCATTTGCTCTCACTGTAATAAAGTCATGAAAGAAAGCATCTTGGTTATCATGATGTAGAGTGCATTTGCTATTTGCAGTGCTTTCTTAAATAACCCACAAATCTTATTTTCTAAGAGTAGAAAGGCAGGATGACATTTGCTGCTGTTTTCTTACAAGGAGCAGAGGGAATTAGCAAGTGAAAAAACAGCCACATCTGTGATAGTCCCTATATAGAGCATGTCTCATAACTCTTGTTGTGTAAATGAAATCTCTACAGATTAGATGAGAATTTTGCTTGGATACAGATGCAACACACAGTATCGTAACACACCGAGGTGTGATGTGTTACTCCTGCTGTGCATAATCAGTCCTCAACACTTTTTTTCCATTTACTGAAATGGGAATCGGCAAGTGTCAAACATAGAAGCATACGGAGAGAACAGGGCACAGGAAAGATTGGGGGCACTATATTGTAACAGTAAACAGAAAAATTAATTTCTAGTGCCTGTGAGCTTTGTGTATGTGCCTGGCAGCTAAATCTGATAATTAAAATATATGTAAAACCCCATTCAAATATCCTATACCCTTAAAAAGCGAAAAAAAATTTGGCCAAGTTACCGTTGTCCCTGTCTGAAAATTAAAAAAAAAAAGGCATACCCTCCATGATGTCCAGTATTGTCTTTCTTGCTACTGAATTTTCCATGCATCCCTCTCCTAGAATGTCACCATCTTGAAATTTCTGTTTGCACATGCGCGAATGTGCTGTAGATCTCTGACAGATATTTGGAGCCTAGCAGAGACCTGTGGGGTGTCTGTGCTTACACATGGGATTTTGTGTATATATGCAGACACACTGCAGGTCCGCCATGTATTTGGGACCTGGTAGACCTGCAGTGTTTACCCATGCGCATGACCCCACAAGTCATCCAGGTCCCATGATACTTTGTCTCCAAGTCAAACACTGCTTCCTGGGATGTGTGACGCGGACATCCCAGGAGGCAGTGAGGGCCGATGTTTACATCATCCTTACCTAGGTGACAAATTAGAAAAAAGTAGCAGCACAATCAAAATAAAGGTATATAGACAGCCAAACTGAAAAAAATAACCACTAAGAGGGAGGGGGCAGACATATCAGAGGAAGTCCATTTTACAAGTGAAGGTCCACTTTAGAGTAATGTTTATGGCCCCATGCAAGGGCGGACTGACCATTTGGCGCTGCCCGAGGGCCCAAGGTCAGTAGGGGGCCCCATGAGATGCCCCTGGTACCTTTTATTGGCTTTTTCATAAGCTTTTTTGGGTATGGGCGAGGACACAGGGGCCCCATGATCCCCTATTGCCCGGGGGCCCCATGAGTTGTCAGTCCGCCCCTGGCCCCATGTACACGGGACGTTTCTGAACGATGGAAACTGACTGCTGGAAAACGTAGGTTAAAAAATGTCTGTTTAGTAGCGTTTGCATAAGGCGTTTATGTGCGATTATGCATTTTTATGTGTTTGCGTTTAGAAGCGTTTTTTAAAGATAAGCACAGGAGAACCTCCCAAATGCCTAGAATGTACTGAAACGTGGTAAATTATTAACTATTTCAGAGAAATACAGAGAGTAGAAGCAGAGACAGCAGTATGTGTTGAGATAATTAGGAGTGAGTTGCTCATTAACATTTCTTTTGTTTCCAAGGGTGGGAAAGGTGTCTGCTGGAGTGAGTCATTAAGGTCACCTGGCAGGGGGTCTTCATGAGGAATTTGAGGTGTGAAAGGCATTAACATATCTTTTGTTTCCAAGGGTGGGAGAGGTCTCAGGTGTGAATTGGTCATTACAATGTGTGACAAGCTTGGTAGGAACATCCTGTTTTCAGTGTTTTGTCCATCTAAGTACCTTGAAAACTCTTTGCATACATTTTTCATGATGAAAAAAGGCTCTGGACAGCATTGGGAACTGTAAGAGTTAAAAAAAAAATTTCAAATGCAAACGTTTATAAATGCGATTTGCCGCTTTTACAAGCGTTTCTCATTTGAAACGCTGATAAAATCGACGTCTGAACGCAAGTTTGTTGTGTTCAAAAAAACGACTTTAAACTCAACTGCCTGTAAACAAAGATGTGTACATGAACACATAGGAAAACATTAGGGTGAGTTCAGGAGCTGCTGAAAAAATTGCTGAACAGCTCCTAAACGTGAGTTTAGTAGCTGTAGTGTACATGAGCCCTAAGTGTAATTTTCAATGTTTTAACATAGAATATTAAAAGCTTTCAATAAAATAATACTTGGTGACCCTGTCAAGTCCTTTTTCAGATACTTCCTGTTATAGAGTGACAACAGACTGCCCCATCTCCCAACTATGTTCCAGTGTTGTCACCCTGTCACAAGCTTTCCCAATGGAGAATAAAATCAGTCATACTGACATACATTGCACAGGCATAGGCTTAGGCTCCATTCACACTGAGCTGAGAGTTTTTTCAGGCATTTTTTCAAGTGTTTTTTTCAGTCGTTTTTGAGCATTTTTTTCTAGCAGATTTGCAATTATGGGCATTTTTCAGGCGTTTTTTCATTTAGGCAGTTTTTCTGAGGCCAATAGAATTAGAAATTAGCTGCTGTTTGAGCTGAAAACGCCAGAAAAAATGCTTGAAAATATGCTCATTCCCACTATTCAGGCATTTTCCATTCAAGTCTATGGGGACAAAACGCGTAGATCTGCCTGAAAAGCAGTGAAAATACTTTTTTGAGCGACAGGCATTTTGCTACAGGCGACAGAACACTCAAGTGTGAACAGGGGCCATTGGAAATAATAGGATTTTACTTGTTGAGAGTTACTGAGTGTTGAGCTTCGAGCTGAAAAATGCTCAAGGCTTCATTCACACTAGGTTTTTTCAAATCACAAGCGGAATTGCCGATTTGAAAATGTCCTGTAAAAGGCTGAAAACGTGCGATCGCGTTTTCAGATGCCATTCATTTCAATGGCACCTGAAAAATGTAAGGTGTTTCTACCACAATCGCAGCACATTTTTCCGTGCGTTTTCACACTTTTACAGCACGTTTTCAAATCACAGGCAGAATCGCAGTGATTCCGCATGCAATTTGAGAAAACCTAGCGTGAATGGAGCCTTAATCAACCCAACGGTGCTTTAGCAAACTAAACGCAGTTCAGTTAGTGTTTCCATCTACTTTAACATTATAATTTGTATTTTACAGTATTGCTTCAGTCTTATTAAATTCCAAAAGAAAGGGTGTTGGGTCCAAAGCTAAAATGGCCTGAACTTTCTGAGGGAGGGTTTATACCAAACTCTACCCAGTGAATAAAGGATCATTAGTTAGAGCTTCAACCAGGGGTAGGCAACCTAGTGCCAGTGGTGGCACACAACAGCATCAAGGACGGCACCCAAGGGGAGTCCTGGGACACCCATCTCCCAAACAAAGCTGGCCAGCGGCTGTATACAGAAGAAGCAGCATGGCTGGTGCCCGCCCACCTCTATTCCCACTGTTGTCGGTTCCTGCGATGCACACTGAAGCTGTGTCAAGTCAGATTCCCCAGGCTGCTTGTTACTTTGAAAGGGTAATTAAGTGTTCTTGCATGGCAAGACCACTTACTGTTATCTCACATATATATTCTTATTAGCCAAATTTACCACCCTAACTCCTCCCACAGTTTTTACACTACATAGATAGTAATATACCGAAACGTGCGGATTGTTCCCGATTGGTATGCTATTACTTTGTGGAACGTTTCGCTGAACAATTCACAAAATATCACTTGAATGAGGTATGAAGGTGCAGAAATTGGGGGTGATATGAGGCTTGGAGGTGCAGGGATTGGGGCTGATCTGAGGTGTGATGTGCAGGAATTGGGGTTGCTCTGAGGCCTGCAGGCACAGGAATTGTTGTTGGAGAATGGGGTGTGAAGGTGCAGAAATTTGGGATGATCTGAGGCCTGGAGGTGCAGGGATTGGGGCTGATCTGAGGTGTGATGTGCAGGAATTGGGGCTGCACTGAGGCCTGAAGGCACAGGAATTGTCCCTGTAGAATGAGGTGTGAAGTTGCAGGAATTGGGGTGAGCTGAGGTGTGAACGTGCAGGAATTGGGGCTGATCTGAGGCCTGGAGGTGCAGGGATTGGGGCTGATCTGAGGTGTGATGTGCAGGAATTGGGGATGATCTGAGGCCTGTAGGTGCAGGGATTGGGGCTGATCTGAGGTGTGATGTGCAGGAATTGGGGCTGCTCTGAGGCCTGAAGGCACAGGAATTGTCCCTGTAGAATGAGGTGTGAAGTTGCAGGAATTGGGGTGAGCTGAGGTGTGAACGTGCAGGAATTGGGGCTGATCTGAGGTGCGAAGGTGTAGGATTTGGGGTGAGCTGAAGTGTGAAGGTGCAGTAATTGGGGTGATATGAGCTGTAAGGGTGCAGGAATTGAAGATGATCAGAGGTGTAAAGATACAGGTATGTGCATTATCTAAGGTGTGAAAATACTGGAATTGGGGTGAACTGAGGTCCAGAGGTGCACAAATTGGGGTAACCTGAAGTGTGAAGGTGCAGATATTGGGACTGAACTGAGATGTGAAAGTGCAGAAATTGGGACTGATCTGAGGTGTGAAGGTGCAGGAATTGGGGTGATCTGAGGTGTAAAGGTGCAGGGATTGGGATGATCTGAGGTGTGAAGGTGTAGGATATGGGGCTGATCTGAGGTCTGGAGTTGCAGGAATTGGGGTTGATCTGAGGTCTGGAGGTGCAGGAACTGGGGTGATCTGAAGTTGGAAGGTGCAGGAATTGGGGTGATTTGAGGTGTGAAGGTGCAGAAATTGTGATCAGAGTTTTAGGGGTTCAGGAATTGGGGCTTATCTTAAACCTGAAGGCACAGGAGATATCGCTGGGGACTATGGTGTGAAGTTGCAGTAATTGGGGTGAGCTGAGGTGTGAAGGTGCAGAAATTGTGGCTGATCTAAGGTGTGAAGGAGCAGGGTTTTAGGGCCAATCTGGGTGTGAAGGTGCAGGAAATGGGGCTGATCTGGTGTGTAAAAGTACAGGAATTGGGGTGATCTGGGGTGTAAAAGTGCAGGCTGATCGGAGACATGTACAGACATGTACAGATGGGTGAAGGTGCAGGCATTGGTGTGAGCTGAGATGTGAAGCTGCAGGAATTGATGCTGATCTGAGGCCCGGAGATGTAGGAACTGGAGCTGATATGAGGTTTTGAGATGCAGGAATTGGGGTGATCTGAGGTGTAAAAGTGAAGGAATTGAAGCTAATCTGATGTGTAAAGATGAAGGAATTGGGGCTGAGCTGAGGCCTGAAGAAATAGGAGTTGAGGCTGTCTGGGGTGTGAAAATGCAGGAATTGGAGTGTCCTAAGTTGTGAAGGTGCAGGAATTGATCTGGGGCGTGAAAGTGCAAAAACTGAAGTTTATCTGAGGCCTGGAGAAACATGAATTGGGCCTGACCTGGGGTGCAAAATTGCAGGCTGATCGGAGGTGTGAAGGTGCAGAAATTGGGCTAATTTGAGGTATGAAGGTGCGGGAACCCAGGCTGATCTGGGGTATGAAGTGCAGGTATTGGGGTGATCTGAGGTGTAGAGGTGCAGAAATTGGGGCTGATCTGAGGTCTATTGGTGCAGGAATGGGGATGATCTGAGGTCTATTGGTACAGGAATTGAGATGTTCTGAGGTGTGAAGGTACAGGAATCAGGGCTGATTTAGGATCTGAAGGTACAGAGATTGGGTTTGATCTGAGAGAACTTTATTTGTGTGGCCACTATCACCTCATACTTCATTTCCAACTGTGCATTTCACAGAAGTCCTCGGTTGACATATTAATTTCAACTTTACCATACTTGCCTCATAGCACATGTGTTCTAAAAAAAAGGGTAAGTTACCATTTACCATCCTTGAAAGCTCAATGTTTTCTTACTATTATTCAAATAGTTTACAGCATTTACTGGATAAAAATTCCTTTTTGTGATTGAGTGTGTAAAGTTGACATTTTTTATATAACTGGCACTCTCAGTTTCTTCATAAACATTTTTCGGCACACCATGCTCAAAAGGTTGCTTACCCCTGGTGTACGCACTTGTTGCATATTGACAAGATGTGCAGCAGGCTACAGAAGGATAGAATAGATTCCATGTACACATCAGAAAATTGCTGTGCTAGGGGGATGAACACCTCCTCCCCTTATGTTACTCTCATTACATTAATGCTTTAAATTGACTAATTCCATTTCACTCCACACAGTTGCCATTGAGCATGTGTATAAATACTGGAGGTGGAGAAGTGTAGTGGAGTTTGATATCCACAAAACAACAGTTAAATATGTCCTTTATTTTCTAGGCTGTAGTTGCATCATTGGTTGCATTGAGCAACATGGACTTTTTCACCTTCCTATTTGCTTTACATTAGTGTTAGAGATAAGAAAATTGACAGATTCACTTAAAGTGAAAATAATAGCAAAACTTTTCAGTTTTGGATAGAGTTAAGTAGGGTTAGGACCTCTGTTAAGATTGTATTGCAGTCTGTGTCCCAGCTGCAGAGATTCCCCCTCTTTATGTCCTGGTGACCACCGAGACAGAAAGTATCTGGAAATCCTACATTTTAGACTTGTCATGAGAGGGAAGAAATATTCCAATTGGGAGAAAGACCTAGTGGCAATTGTCTATGATGGGAATTCACCTTACTTTTGGGAAAATCTTTTTCACTTCCAGTTGCACCCTCACGACATTTTCCATCAGAATCCATCACATTCATCATGGAAGGAAAGGTTTTAAACAGAAGAAGAAAACTTCATAGTGTGACCCAGTAAACCAACAAAAAATGTATGAAAGCATTGCACTTACATAGATAAGGTGCATAAAGGCAGTGTAAGCATTTAAAATTCCTGCGGTGTCAGACCACCAGCCAGAACAAGGTTATGTCACAGAAAGCTCTGCCCAACGCGCATTTCTCCAAAAATGGCGTCCTCTGGGATTGGAGAATGTGATGGATTTGTTCAAGTGAACCTGCAGTTCATCTCCTTGATATGGCTACCTAGGGTGTCAGTGTGGGATCTGAACACAATCTGCTTGTTGATCTCTTGACTGGAGATCAAAGTGTCTGGTAAGAGGCTGATTTTTTTTTCTTTTGTGTCAAGCATTTGTGGACACCTATGCACTTTCCGTTGGAGGGTTATTGGATTTTTAATTATTTAATAAATGAATGTGGACTTATATAATATCATTTAATTTATGCATATTTTGTATGCAGCAGTATTTATTTGATTTATTATTGTTTATGACCGTTTAGTGTACAGTGCACTTGTATTTTCTGGTGATCAGGGAAAGCGTAGCAGCAGTTCACTAACTGTTTCACTATTGTTTCAGAATATGTATTTTTTTCACATATTGTATTGTCTGGGGTGTTTTTCTCCTTTTTTTTCTGTCCTACACTTTAAAATCAGGCACAAGCTCAAGGAACCCCATTCTAAAATATAAAAAAACAAAATGAATAGTTTTATATATTGCAGCAGCATTCATACACATGGGCCACCCCACATAAGAGGTGATTTGTTCCCCCACATTTGCAAACTGGTACTGACTAGTTTTCTAGCTTTTCTCTCCTTTATGTCAGTTTCTCTCCCTTGCTCAGCTAACGTGACCCCAGTGCTGACAGAGAGGGGCAAACAAGGATGATGTACAGGCACCCACATCCTAGCTATTAACCAATGACTACATTGGTTGTTAAGATGCCAGTGACTGAACTGCATGGCATCCAAATTGTAGTACTGCAGAATAAAAACCTGTGTAAAAAAAAAGGCAGGCTTGATCCATTTGCTGGTTTGTTGACAATTTTTGAGCAATTCGTGGCAATTTTTAGGCATTTTTCCAAGGCATCTTGAAGAACCCAGAAGGCACCCCAGGACTGAAATAGGTTGAACTACAAGCAGTCATTTCCACGTGCATGAGAGACAACTCTAATCAAAATGCCAACGTTTTATATTATATACGAATTTCACAAATTACTTGTGAAATTAGTATATTATTTCACATGCAAATAGAATTTCAGATATTCCAAAGTTGTGTTTGCTTTGATTCGGGAACACTGCCTTAATTGGTTAAACCTTCTTAGGCCGGTCATACATGATTAATTTTTTTTTTTTCAACCAGTGGGTTGAACGAAAGAAAAATCAACCAATTTGCATCTGCCTGCAGGATACAATGATCATTGCTTCAGATGGACCAGTGAATATTCTTAATCTGGTCTCTCCATCTGCCTTTTTGGCAAGGGTAGCCTTTCCAGGAGCCCATACCCCAGTCATCAGAGCTCTATGATTCACAGAGACACTCAAGCTCCTCCAACCTAAAGAGACAGTGATAACACAGGCCATAACAGTCAGCCCTGGTTCACACTGATGCAGTGCGGGATTTGCAGCATTTTCAGTGCAATTTCTGCACCGCATCAGAATTGCACCCCATTCATGTGAACCGCTGCGGGTGTGTATATAAAGTTAACAACACCCCGAAAGCGGTCCGCAAAACACGGTGCGATAAGCAGAATCGGATCACATAGGTGTGAATACCCATGCAATCCGATTCTAGTGCGGACCAAAAAAAGGGTCCTGCACATTTTTGGTGAAGGTGCGGTGCAATTAGAGCCATTCAAAATTATGGCTCCAATCGCACTGCACATAAATCGCATGTGATTTGCACAGCAATGCAGTGCGGTTCCTGTGCGAATCAGATTCAGTATATTGCACTGCATATATGTGAACCCAAGCTCAAGCAGATACTAGCTGTCTCTTACTAGTGTAGTAGGAGGTATTAGCGGATACAATTCCCTTAACCAACTCCTATTATAAACATAGAGTGCCATGGCCGGATCTAGGGGGGTGCTGGGGAGGCGTATGCCCCCCCCAGATTTTAGTTGTGTCCCCCCAAAGCCATCCCTAATCTGCCACAATACTGCCCTAACCTGCCACTATGGTGCCCTAATCTGACACTGTACCACCCAGGGGCGGACTGACCATTTGAGCACTCGGGCACTGTCCGAGGGCCCGGGGTCAGTAGGGGGCCCCATGAAATGCCCCTGGTACCTTTTGTATAGGCTTTTTTGAGTGTGGGCAAGGACACAGGGGCCCCATGATCCCCTATTGCCCGGGGGCCCCATGAGTTGTCAGTCCGTCCCTGATACCACCCTAATCTGATACTTTTCAGCCCTAGTTTGACACTATACTGCCCTAGCCGGACGTTAAACTGTCCTTGACTGACATTATACTGATCTTAGTTATGCTTTGTGTGGGGAGGAGAAACTCTGCTGCTTGTGCCCAGGCTGTGTGCAGTGCAGGGATGGGAGAAGGAGCTGTGCCCCTGTCCTCTGCCCTGCCAGCAGTGACCCCTGTCCTCTGGCCTGCTAACCTCTGATCCTCTGCCCCCCTGAGAAATTTTTTAATGCACCCCCACAACGGACAGGCTGGATCCAGCCCTGTAGAGTGCTAACTTGAAAATCCTTGTCCATACAGGTGCTGGATGTAAAAGTTAAAGTTCATAAAGGAATTGAGCCACATAAGTGCATTAATGGGAGCGCACAGTGAAAGGAAGATGAAAAAAAATCACAACTGTGATCATGTCCTTTGCCTTCTCTAGTGGCTTTCTGACCCTCGAGACGCAGCTCCAGCTTTTATGGCTATTTAGTCTAGCATGATAATAATGTTTTTACACTGTATAGGTTCTCGCATGGCTTGTTTTGTCAACATAATATTTATTGTAATGGAGTGCACATAATAGACATTGAGCAATGGCAGAGCCCAGAAAGCAGCTGGGAAAGTGAAACACTGCATAATACACTGTATGATAATGGTGGATTACATGCAGTCATACTAGAATGTTCCCATCTGCCTCAATCTACACATTACCCTTTCTTTTTCTTTGCTCACTCCATAGGGAGTCCCACAACTGTTACTGAACTGTTCATAATGAGCTTATACATCTCTTGGGGTAATTTGTAATGATTACACAATTGTGAATGATGTAACCTACAGCCAAGTGTCAACCGACCATATTCAGTTTAACTTTACTTGGCTTGCAAGGAATTTTCAAATCTACAGTATATTCCTGGTGGACGGTATGTACTGTGGTTATTGTAGGGACCAGTAGTACATGTGACATGGCCATTGTGAGGACTAGCTGCATAACGTGTGCTGTGGACAGAGTAGGAACCAGCTGGACTCAGTGTAGCATGGACATTGCAAGGACCATGGATTCCTTTAGAATTTTAACCACTTGCCCTCCAGAGGATTTACCCCCCTTCCTGACCAGGCCATTTTTTGTGACACGGCGCTGCGTTACTTTAACTGCCAATTGCGCGGTCATGTAACGCTGCAACAAAATGAAATTTGCGTACTTTTTTCCCCACAAATAGAGCTTTCTCTTGTTGGTATTTGATCACCTGTGTGTTTTTTATTTTTTGGCTATAAATAAAAAAAGACCAACAATTTTGAGAAAAAAAAACAATATTTTTGACTTTTTGCTATTAAACATGTCCAGTAAAAAAATTTTAAAAATCAAATGCCCTTATAAATTTAGGCCAAAATGTATTCTGCCACGTCTTTGCTAAAAAAAATCCCAATACATGTAAATTAATTGGCTTAGGTGAAAGTTAAAGCGTTTACAAATGGCGATATATATATATATATATATATATATATATATATATATATATATATATACTAGAATTTCTTTTCTACTAGTAACGGCAGCAATCAGCGACTTATAATGGGACTGCGGCAGGCATTCTGATACTGGGGGGAACTGACTTGGTGTCACTGACATCCCCAGTGACACCAATACAGTGATCAGTGCTAATAAAAAGTACTGACACTCTACTAATGGCACTAGGCAGGAAAGGTTAAACATCTGGGGCAATCAAAGGGTTAACTGTGCTGTTCTACTATGGGGGCTGTGTGTGTGCTTTACTGTAAGCACACTACTTTGTACAGCTCTGCTACACAGAGCCATAAAAAGCAGTGTGCAGGAGCTGACGGGAGAGATCTGTGTTGTTTATACACAGGTCTCTCCCAGTGGTGTATTTAGGTTTTGTGCTGCCCTAGGCAACACAAAAATGGCCGCCCAACTCCCTCCGCGCAGAGAGAGCTTGACACCGACCAACACCACATCACCCTGCACCCCCTGTGGAGAGAGACTGACAACAACCACCACCAATCAACCCCCCAGCCAAGAGAGCCTTCTACTGCCCCCATACACCTGCCACCACGCCACCCCCCCCCCTCCCCCCCACCACCCACTCGGCAAGAGAGAAAGACAGCTTCACAGCTCTGGGCATTCCCACCTGGTCCCCATGCCACGTGTGTCCCTTCTTCTGTCCCTTCTTCCGCCACCCCTCTGAAAAATGCCGCCCTAAGAAAATGCCTTGTGGTGAATACACCTCTGGTCTCTCCCCTGTCGGTAATACTCGGCGATAACCGGGTGCTGGTGAGTAATCACCGGCCATGACCCGGTGATTGACAGCCGAGGCCGCAAATGACTGCACAGGTAGGGCTCGCGTACGTCCCCTACACGGAAATGCAAAATCATGTACTGTATATAGATCAGTGATTTTGCGCACCCCTGCCACCCTGTAGCAGTATTTCTGCTATAGGGTAGAGGGGAAGTGCATTTATAGAATATTCATCATTTTAGTCAAATGTCAAACAACAATTCACAAAAACACACCATAAGAGAAACATATGATTGATCATTTGTTCTGTCTGCCAACCACATTCTGCCGATCTCTATTTTCTAATGATTGAGGCAAGTTTCTTCTAATGATTGGGGCAATTGTCACAAATAAAAAAAGGGATTTGCACAAAGAACACCTTAGATCAGCCTTTCTCAACATTTTCAACACAGAGGAAACCTTGAAATAACTTTCCATTCTCAGGGAATCCCTGCTAAAAATTATTATATCTACAACTCATGATACAGTAGTGTGATAGTCAGTGGGAAGAATGCTCCTTACACTTGTGGTCATTGGGAAGAATTCCCCCCTTACAGATAGCTAAAAAGATCATTGGTGTCAGTGTGAACCTATTTGAGAGGCAGGAATTGCTCATTGCTCAGGGAACCCCTAACAACCTCTGGTAGAACCCTGGTTGAGAAACCCTGCCTTAGATTAATGGATGGCACTATATTACTTCGCTAAAAACAATAGTTAGCAGGTAAGACTCCCAGGATGAAAGTAACAAACAGAAAGGCTTACTAAAATAATCATCTTGTTTAGAGGCAGTTTGGCAATGAAAGCTCCATTCTGGGTGGGATTATTCTATAAAGCTCAGTTCAGATGGGTTGGAAACACTCTACAATGTTATGTTCCATACGTGAAGTGCTTCTAAAGGCTTAAATTAACGAAAAAAATGACAAACATACTTACCTGCTGTGTGTAGTGGTTTTGCACAGAGCAGCCCGAAACCTCCTCTTCTTTGGTCCCCTGCCAGTGCTCCTGGCAAGCAGCATGCTATGGGGGCACCAGAGCATGTGCACTCCCCAGACGCTGCTCCATGTGTTCATTTACACACAGAGCCACGGCTTGGTCCCGCCTCTTTATCTTCTCATTGGCTCATGGGCTGTGATTGATGGTAGTGGGAGCCAATGGCTCCTGCTGCTGTCTCATCCAACGAGGAGAGGGAGTCACAGGATAGCCAAGACTCCTGTGCACATCGCTGAATAAAAAGGGGGCTTAAGTGAGTATTAGGGCAAGGCTGGGGGGGATGCTGCACAGAGAAGGTTTTTTACCTTTATGCATAGAATGCATGAAGGCAAAAATCCTTGAGCCTTTACAACCACTTTAAATAATTAAGTGAGAATCATATTCATGTAAAGGTGAGCTAAACTATGTCACTGAATCAATAATATCAACAAGTGTTACCACTGGCTGTATGTTATTTACCAATGGTGATGAAAGTAGACCATGCCTTCAAAATGTATGTTGAAGCTGACGCTTGGGAGTTGATTTACTAAAACTCGAGAGTGCAAACTATGGTACAGCTGTGCATTATAGCCAATCAGCTTCTAACTTCATTTTCTTGAATTAAGCTTTGACTGTGCTTAAGCTACACCAGATTTTGCACTCTCCAGTCTTAGTAAATCAACTCCTTGGAGTCTACATTGTGAGGCTGAATGTTGTCCCCCTACATCAGGAAGTACTTGAATAAGGACTTCATGTCAGAATCCTCAAGTATTATTTTAATGAAAAGGGACATTTGGAATTACCATATTATAGCTTATGTCTCTCCACTTCCTCCTTTCAAGGTTTCAAAGCCAATAACCCATGGACAGGAAGTGCATACATAATATATATTTACAGGCATATACAAATTCAGACAGTAGAGGGTAGCAGAGCCATACAGAGAATCTTGTGAAAGAAGCAGCAATGCATCTAGTGGATGAATAATAACCAAAACAGAAATGGATAAAAATTTATATAATGGGAACTAAAAAATGTGTAAATAACAAATTGTGCAGTAATTTTAAGGGCCATCAAAGTAAGGCAAAAGGATCTCTTTATAGAAAAAGTATCAACTTATTATTATTTCCTTCAGAAAGGATTATGTAACCAAATGCCTAAACTCTTGCATATGTGGCCAGCATTGCAAAGAATTTCAAGCAGCATTTTCCCCACAATAGATACATATTTCAGCCCTGCGGTATAGATTATCTTTAACACAGACCTTCAGAAAATTCATTTTTTACAGAGGGGATGGAGAAAATCATGAAAACAAACGATCTTAACAGCGAAACCTCTGGGCATCAGTTTTTTGCCAAGACAAAAGATATAAAAGAAGTAACAAGAGCTCTCAGCATGTGATGAACACTAGGCACACTAAGCACATGGAACCCTCAGGCTTCTATTAAAGAAAAAGGTAATGCCTCCTTATAAAAAGCAGAGTATTATTTATCAGCATAGATTGTAAGAACAGAGGATTACAAAGGCCCCCAATGCCTTATAGGAATGAACTTGATTGCTACCCCTTTAGCACATATCCTACATAATGCAGGATAGATGGGTACAGCATATTATTTGATTTAATAATCTTTATAGTGTTCATTAATAAGAATCAAGTCAGAGTATACCTAAACCTAAAGAATAAAAATGTAATATTTTTTTTATCTTAC